GGATGTTATAGGATCAGAAGAGATTGTATTTAGTGACAAATTATCATCTATTATGCTTCTCACATTTCATTTTTATGTTCAGAATCATAATATAATTCTAATGAAAAAACTTACATTTTCATGCAGCAAGGCGGCAAACCACGATATCATCCCAACCGTGGAGCAAATAATTATCAACCAAAATACTAACATCATGAATAGGAACGATCCAACTGGGTAACTGACCACGATAACCTCATAAAGCAGAAAACAGATCAGCGGCATATTGAGTCCTAATTCCACTAATACGATAAATGAAAATATGTCATCTGCGTGTCCCACGGACCGACAGAGGTGTTGGTGTTCCCTGCGTATCATCTCCAGACACATTGTGATGGTTCCGTCTTTTTGGGTAGTTTTTGTAATGACTGTGTTCAACTGTTTGAACTGTTTGGAAAGCTGTAGACAGATTATGCAAAATAAAGAAATGGGAAAAAACCAGGCTGCAGAAGCAAAAAAAAACGAAATATGGATCACTCCTTGGATCAACACATGAGACGAAGTATCAAAGGGTGCCAGTGATGTCGTCCATGTTGTGTTCTCAGCAGACTCAAAAGGTATATATATGAAGACCAAAGAAGAAACAGCGTTCATAACGCATAATAACACACATGTTGCTGCAGCAAATACAACTACTTTCCTCAACCATTTTAAATCGATTTGCAAGCCGATGTATTGGCTGAATCGGCTTTGGCAGGATTGTTCGAAATGTTGAAAAAACGTTTGATATTTCTCGGTGAAGCACAGTTGATAGCACACCGATGCAATGCAGGCAGACTGCAGTAACCATACACAGGATATGATACGACTGATCAACATCTCCGTGGGTAGTTCTTCCTCTATCCAAAGAGATACCGCTGATCGGACGACGTTGATCCATAGTAAAGTTACCACCACTCCTCCATATATTGTTTTCGCTATTGAGAATGTCTGGCGATAAAGTCCAACAATAGCCATGAGTCGAAAAAATGGTAATAGTATCTTGTAGAAGGGAATTTCGTAGAACTCTCGTTTTTTCTCCATATCTTCTTCGATGTCCACAATCCATGCTTTGTTTCTTTTCATACAATTAACTTGAGTATTATTGGAAATGTCTGTTTGAACATGATTTGGTTGTGAGGTGATTGTGTTGGGAAGAATCACCTCTTGGAGTGTCATGGTCTATCCTTGGTTGTGCAATCGTTGGTCGTAACGGTTGAAAAAGGCCTATTGAAAATTAAAAAAAATACAATGTATAAATAATTGTTATTATATAGCACGAAACAAATAACGAATTGAAATACATTTGTAATAATAAAATGTACATGGGATTTGGACGAGAATGCGCATGTACCTTTTTTTAGAGCAAACACGCTAACCCTAAAATATGGCAGGTTCTTTTATCAAGTGTTGGACATACGAACATCGCATGCATAAAACACTCACATATATATGTTATGTCAAATAGGAGAGAATCGACAATCAAGGCAAATTGCTGTAATCAACCCAATACTTTGTATATATCTTTATAATACATCTGACACCACAAATAATAAAATTTATCTGTCCGTAAAAGACCGTGTTACGAGCGCTTTCAATGTTTTCCCTATTTGGAAATCGTGCGTCATTAGTAATTACTTTTTGTTGTTTACTTCAAACGCAGGGGCGATATACGCGCATGTAAATACCCTCTTTCGCACTGTGCGGAATGTTCTTCGATGTTATCTCACATTATATTATTGTATATAAAATTAAATCATTGTGTAAACATGTATCAAAATAAGAATATCACGAGAACACAGCAAAGTATGCACCCAGGCACTACGGTAATGCATCACTGCACTGCCTTCGTGCATATTTTGCGGTGTTCTCGTAATAACCTCAGGTCATACGGGATGTGACAGGTAGCCAAACGAAAATATATATATTCCAAATCAATTACCGTGTATGCAATAACCACAGATTGCCGCTGCGCCAGTTCTTACTATAAACTGTCGTCATATTTAAGAAATATCAAAGCTTCAAAACAGTAAACACAGGATATTGTGGGAAAATGCATAATTTGACATTCAATGTTCGGAAATTAAACAAAAATAATGGATTACCTTCAATTTCGCAACTATGCAGATATTAGTAAAGGATATTAATGTGTTAACGTATTAAAACTGACAGTCTTAGTCCTAGTATTATAATGATCATACAATGGTTGTCATAGTGAAGCTCATAAAGTTAGTATCGCCACTGAAGCTTCATGAAAATAGATGTAAGTGGCTGTTAGTAACGTCAGGTTTTTTAAAGCTACATTTATCCAGACGCCCTAGCGAGCTGAGAATGGCACTCCATATTCCTTTCCTTAAAGAAATGAACATTCGTACTTGTGTTCCGTCTCACGCTTTATTGATGCATTTGTATCGATTATTAGACTCAAAGTTGAAAAGCCTTACAGTGCATTTGACAGAGATTATAGTTTTATTATTTATTAAAAAACTTCACGTAAATGAATACAACCCCTGCGTTGTAATGGCAGATTTCAGCACCATTAATAATAAAATTGGTTGATTGGTATTATCAAGACAAATATTTGCAGTTTGTGAGGGGCATAAATACATTGAGTCATACTACTTTTGTGTATGCTAATTAATTCTGTGGCAGACAATGCTCAAAATGGTGATAGTTTCGACATTAATAAAATATGGAATGTGCCATTAGCAATCCATGAACATAAACGCTAATCATGTCGTGACCGACAGGATAGCCACATTAAGTCACATTTTAGTCAAATGTGACCTAGCGTATGATTATTTAATTAATCTTCATTTTCCATATTCTGGTACTACAATCTGTATGGAATAAAAACAGGTAACGTGGAATGGAATACATCACGCCGACATTTCACTCATATGGCATGTGCCACGCAAACACACCATGTTGGTTGCCGAGTTAACAAACGCTATTTTTTACATCGGAATGCAATATTTGTAAAGTCCGGACAGGACAAAAGAAGCTCACAATTTGATTACGTGAACAAACGCAACGAGATCGGTAGCGGGGTTTGCAGAAAACGATAGGACATTCAAAACATTCTTATCAATAAACACGTTGAAAATAGGATAGATATTTTGTACACTACAGTTGTCCCGGGACTGTTGTGCGTTGCAGTGCAGTGAGTTTCGCTGAATTCTCCGGGGTGTTTATAAGTGTCACATAAGGATGACGAATCTCGGTTGCAGTAAGCATTGTTCTGATTACATTCCAAGGTTTTAGTTATAAAATATGGTGTACAAAACAATTATTCACTAAATCTGTATCGGTGGTGTAGCAGCTAAACCATTTCTGCGCAGCGCTAGACTGAATCATATGATTAAAACACAATAATCTAAAAATGAATTACAAAAAAAGAACACTTATATATATTGGTAAATGATTAGTGACCGTTACCTACCTCTCCTCTGCTATTTTTGATCAGGTTTTTTTCCACAATGTTATCAATCAGAGCAAGGCTCATCCACTCACGTACTCAAAAGTCACTGATATTAGATTTCTAACGATTTATGGTATCCCACGTGACCACATTAATAGATTTTGCATATTAATTCAATTACTTATGACGTCAATAATTCGATATGTGTTGTTCTCTATAATTGAAGGGCAATATTATCTACTGTTAATTAGTCATTGGTTTAGATTTATTGTTTGCCGCATGATCATGGGGTCTAAAAAGCTTCACGGCCAAACAAAACCGGTGATATACATTTTATTCTGTACTTTATCAGCAGGCCAATAATAGTATTGTGTTGATTGTAGCACAGGGTTTTCCCCAGCACAAGGTGCAACTTTCATTTTTCAGTGTAGATAAAAGTACGGGTCATGATATTGCATGTTATATTGTACATTATACTGATTTCCTGAGGTGCTTATAGCGGTGTTATTGTATCCCTTGCAACTTATCTTTACATTGAAATCATGCAATTTACGCGCAGCATGTAATTCATTATTATTATTATTATTATTATTATTATTATTATTATTATTATTATTATTATTATTATTATTATTAAATGATCATGTTCGTTTAGTTGATTCATGAATAATAAAATAATGCATCAAAACCACTTTAAGGGATGTTGTTTAGTATATGCTACATACGAAAACAATGTAATATTTAATTAATTTAATAATTTATACAGCTTGTGAAATATATTTCTCTCATTAGTTTAACCATGAAATGTATTACATACGTCTATCGTTTCGCATTATATTTAGTATAATGCCCTTTCACGATGAAGTCAATTATACTGTTTCTCTTCAAGGCCAAGAAACGAACAATATGAAATATCTGGTATTCAGAAATATCTGAATATTCACTTTCTTTCATTCTCATATTTGTTTATTGTTTTCAGCGTTGATGTGTCTGCTGTAAATGTAGCGCGTACAAAAACAATAAACATTAAACATTATTATTTGATTTTGTATATAGCTATTGCTATTGTTTGCATGTTGAAATAGGTTAGGTAGATAATGTGTATGCCAATATCTCTTTTGGGGTCTGATTAAAAACGCACCTTCAAATTGACCGACAAGTCGAGAATAAAGCAAACTAATTACAGACAGTGACGATGATGGATAGAAATGTAAAAAATCATTTGTTAAAATTAATAATTAAAAATACAATCACGTTTGCTTTATATATACTGCTATATTGCTATAGTTACAATAATTTGAAGATTGAGTTAATTAAAGAAGTGGAAATTACCATATAATAACCGATTAATTTAAAATGATTTGCAATGCGCAATGAAATCTATAATTTCAATGTTACTAAAGGTGACATTGGAAAAATGTTAAAAGTTTGAAGATGACCTTAGAGCGTGCATGTGAATGGAAAATGTGGGTAATATAATTGGCGGAATTGGCCGATGGTATACAAACAGCACTAATTTATATACAATCCGACCTTTTACTGGAAGCCAGTGAAGATAAATTCAAGCAGGTCTAATATTCTTCAAGACAATCCTGGCTGCTGCATTCTGTACCCTCTGCATTAAACATTCACTTGTGTTTGTATTATCAAAACCAGATGCAGACAATAAAATGCCGGGATATGGTTTATTGTACTTCAAGAGAAAACAAATGTGAAAATTGTATAATTTAGCGTGAGTACAAGAGTATTCCTTTAAGTAAACATATTTGCAAAATACATTTATTTGTTTTTGTTTCTGTAAGCAAGCTTTGAGGAAATATAAGCATTGTCATAGTTACACGTCTAATAACATGAACGGATTAAATGAAAAATAAACTACCCTGATATAGAGACCGTCCTTGCTACTGTAGTCACGTGTTTTGTGACGTACATGTGTCTTAAATAATGCCTGTTTAGCGATAATAACACCACTGATATACAAAATGAGTAGACACGTTGGGTCACATCAAAGGGAGTCCAAGAAAGACGGTAGTAACACGGTAGAGATAAGCCAGTAATATCAGTATATGTAACTTTTGCATGCGCAGAGGATGCTCACAAAAATCATGAGTTCAAACGTTACATCCGGGTACTTTAGTTAGTCACTGACTAGTCATAAGACGCCTCATGGTTTGAACTGATTATCAACATACACTACGTGTTGATCCGTATTTTGATGTATGTAACATGTAGGTACCTAGAAAAATTTTGTTGTTCAAACCTAAATTGATTTTCCATTTACTTAGTTTCTCAAGCCTTTATTATATTCATTGTGCCAACAAATTAATAAATGTAACGCACGATGATGGACAATTACAAAGCTATTAACGTCATTTACCCACACTCTTCTGTGTTATTAATTTTAAGATATAATACAGAAGAAGCAAAATACAAAATATTGAATTTATTAGCGCATGTAATAACGATTATATTGCTCTAAAAATCAAATATATGTAAGTTAGATCATCTTATTACTTCAAGTGATTGTAATGCACGCTACAATGGACCATTTTGGCAACTGGCTTATCGACGTTGCATATGCTTAATACATTATAAAGTTCTGTTAAAATATCGGGGATCTGTTATGAGAAAATCAGATAGAACTCTATCCAAATCTGACAAATTTTATTGATGCCTACTCCTACGCCTTGTTTTACGGCCTTAGAGAAAGTTGATATTTCAAAGAATGTCATCGTTGACCCCGAGGTAGTCGTAAATCAGCGCGCATAGATAATTAACGAGGTTAATAATGTCAAGGCGAAATGTACAATACCATGTTAAATGACAGTAACATATAGTAACCTTCTCTAATGTTTAAATTATACAATACAATTGTGCCAAATTCTAGTATAATTTATCAAGAGATTAAACATTGTGAAAAGCTCATTCCAGACACATATGGTTGCTATAAAATGTTTATAAACAATCATCGTGTGTTTAATACCGTTGACCATTTATGTCACGGCAACACGCCGTTCAAATGAATCGTATTTGTCAATTTGATCATCCCACAAATCAACTTCACAGCATGGATAACCAATTAGTCAAGCCAGTGATGTATCTTGCATAGTACATTAGTGTAATTTACAGTCATGCTCGCAAGTGGGTCATTTTAATTCAAATAATTACTACACTATAACTGCGTTTCACTTTCAATATTGTACGTGTGCGACGAAATAACAGTTCAACATAGTGTGGGTGCTACTAAGTCATAGCTAAACCACTACTATGTGGAGTTTAAGTTCAAGATTACAAACGATTATCTGTGAATGTTAATATACGCATGTTTGTGTTTCGTTTATAGTGACGAAAATGCTTTGATATGTGCCAGTTGTCTGCATTGTTAAACGGGACTATACGTTTTTATTACCTAAGTGTCAGTATCCTTCACTCTGTGTCTTTGCCATATTACCTCAAACCCTGCAAATAGAAGTGTGCATTGAAGTGTGTACATTGCCGTGTCATAAAGGTGAATGACAATTCATACTTGTTTACAACTCTGGAAGGACAATTGGAATCTACCAGGTGTGCTGGTGATTTACATAACACAGGTTGCTTACGATCTACTAAGTTGCCTACGTGACACAGCTGCTAGCAAGACCACATTCTGATTGCCTTATGTGGAAACCCAGGGGGTGTCCCTGAATCGGAGCCATTTATGCTTATAAATAGGCTAGATTGAGGACAGTTCATTTCAAATGAGTACCTGTGTGTTGCTGCTGCGATTTTGTGAGACTTGTATGAACTGCTCTGCGATCTCCTGCTATCAGCGGTGCCCTCCAAAATAAAAGCGTTATCCGACCTGTCTGCAAATTTGCTATCAGCAACAGGTTTTGTCATATGCAAATTTTTAATCGCCACGTGTGTTCGCATATGCAGATTAGTCATCGTTTGTTTCAAGTGCATGTTAGTAATAACTACATTTTCGATTTGTGCACATGTAGATTTGTAATTGGCATTATTGTTAATGTCATGCATTTCTGAACTTACAGCTTGGCCAGATATCAAATTTGGAATTTTGGAGATGAAAGAGGGTTATTTCTTAACTGTTGACAAATTGACGTAACTTATTACAACCATTATTGTCGTATGTGTAGTCAGTGCACACAACTAAACCCTACTCTACGAGAGAATCGGTTGGGATAACTATACAGATGTAAACCATTGAAGATTACATGACGTAATCGTGACGTGATATGCCTCGCAATACAGTTAAGTCGAAACACATATACAGGACAGAAATTGATATGTCAATAAATGTCAACAAACAAA